CTATATAACATTTTAGACACATTCTAGACAGTTTATCAGCCAAAAAAAGTTAATTTTGGGGTAAGTTACTCTTTAAGTGTTATAAAATAATTGGTGATATTATATTTCCCTATAATTATTACAAAAACACAAAATAAGGATTTATATTTGTGTAGCCTTTGTTTTTAGGGTTATTAACAAAGTTTGTGTACTCAGACCAGTAATATTTGGGGTCACAAGTTTTTGCCATGAATATTTTGTGGGTCAGAAGATAAAAAGTTTGGGAACCACTGGTTTAAATTACATTTGGTGTCCCATATACGTTAGCAAAATATCTCTCAAACCATTTGACAATGTTTTTTAAACTCAGAAAATAATCACTGGTTGAACATCTACTGCTGAATGATCTTTGATGGCGACACAATTCAAGATGGCCGCCAGAGTTAACTGATATTAGAAAACACAAATAGAGCAACAAGTCCATCAGTAGTCACCCCTGCACTTACTAAAGCTCTAACATTATTTTTAATGTTTGACCAAACTGGCTACAATCCCATCATTTCTCAACATAAGCTGGTCTTACGTGCTTCCAGCAGGTGATATGAATTCCTTCAAGGAATGCTGGGCCTTTAAATGAATCTTAATTCAAATCCACGACTACTGAGGAATGTACACTATAGGGTCTGAGACGGATGGCTGCGAATCAGCAATAAGGACCCAATGTTACAAGTAAACATTATGAGGAAATACCTCAGCTCCAGGTGCTGGTTGGAGGTCAGAGGTGAGAGGTGACCGGTCACACACCGAGCCTCGGGGCTCCCTGAACCCTGACCCCACAAGGCTGATGAATAGCGTGCTAACGAGTCCCAGCTCTCCTTTACCGTGTCTGCACTCTCTCTTCTTGTCTTTGACCACCTCTAACTCACCCCGCACACACACACCCACCCCAACCCCCAGAGTTTGATCTGGCAGCGGCAGAGATGTATTACTGATACCTGCTGAACCTTTTAGAGTCCTCCTCCAACTGCCGGCTTCCTCAGATTAATAATTATCATCATAACACATTCAAACCAGGCACCGCTACACCCTTACATAACCTAACCCCCATCTACGTGTGCCGTACTTAAGAATAGATTGAATAAATTATGATTCGGGAAGGTGTTAAATCACGGCCAGTAACAGAAGTGCTTTCTTACTAATGAGGCTCCTCGTCTTCATCATTTCTGGCTGCGCAGAGAGAGGAAGTGAGAGATCTAAAAACAGGCACATGCTTTCCGCCCACATGAGCGCACCAAGCACCACCTACATGCAAAGAAAATGGACGCGGTTCAGACCGGGACAAGATATGCACCCTTGGCCATTTGCACAGTGGTACCATAAAGCCAATTAAAGAGATGAGTCTTATTAGCAGAGGTGTCCGGGGCCTCATACATCACAGAGGGTTTCCTGGCAGGGTCCGGAGACATGTGGGGTGGCTGTCGGTCATCTTTATTAGTCCTGTCTCATCACGTCCCTATACGACACTCATCCAAAACTTTACAGAGACTTGTGATTTAGCTGGGCTCGGCTTGGCCCGGGGATCTGTTCAGCCATCGAGCAGGTCACCTCTGAACGAGCTCCGAGGGATTCGGAAAGCGGACGAAACGAAACGCCGGCCTCGTCCATCGGAGCACAAGTGACCCAGAGGCACCTGGAGGAGTTGGCACGGACTGGCAGCTACCTCTAGAAAAAGTTTTTAAAAAATTGCCACCTCAGCTGCAACCCTAATTGTAGGCCAGTTAAGTGATTGCTGAATCAGCATTTACCGTTTTATAGTTTCTTCTGTGTATTTTTTGCATTTTACAGTACTTATGCATGCTAGGTGCTGTTTTAACCATTCATAGTGTATTTCTAAACTTTCAGCTGTTTCAGGAGACAAGTCCTATAACTTTTGGTTTTTGTAACTTTTATACTTTTTGAAAAACTTTATTCACAAAAATATATCCCCATAGAATTACACTGAAATCTCCATGCCTTTCAGATCATTGTTGTTTTTGAAACTCGTTCAGCAAACTTGCTCCATTTTCTTCCTTAACACTTAACGTTCTGCTACTTTTAGCCAACCTTTTGCTACGTTTAGCTAGCCTTTTGAAACTTTCAGCTTTGAAGTTCAGCCAATATTTACTAAGATTTTGCTGCTTTTTGCTAAATTTCAGATTCTTCTATTTTGTGTTTTGTTGATGGATGAAGTTGCTGCACAGCACTCAGTCAAGTGTTGTTTTACGTTGTTTATGTAGTTCATGTGCACCAAAACTAGTGGTACACCTGAAACTGATACTGGTATTGGTATCAGGCCCTAAGTATTTGTACAAAATGCCCCAATCACCAGAACCAAAATCAGTAGTACTGATACTAGTTTCTGGTATAATACTCCATTGAATGTGTTACAGTTCTCAAGTAAAAACTTCCATGTTTAAGAAAGTTATACAAGTTGAAAGAAAATGTATTTATTTTGAAAGGTTTCAGCAGTGTACTGTATATCATGCTGTATATTTGATCTGATCCAGTCAGAGAGGCTGCAGGACTAAAAGGAAAGAGAGACACCTTGTTCTAAATAAAATAAATGTGTTTTTACAGTCATGTTTGGGTTCTAAAGGGCCCATTATACTTCATATGAAGCTAAACAGTCGATGCACGATCGCATGGTTGTCATTTAAACAGGTGGTCTCATTGAGATCCATGATCTCATGTACAAGAGAGACCTTAGAGGTTGTTGTTCAAAATTGTTTTTCACTCACATACCCCGCGCCAAACTCCTGGGAAACCCCTCCTGCTGCAGTGCGCATGGTTTCCTCCTGCTCGATTCTACACTGCAGGGAAAATATTACAAATCTGATATTGTTTTTATTTATGCTCCTGCACAGCACTTTGGTTTTTCTTGTGCTTTATAAATAAACGATGATGATGATGATATCCAACATTATTTTGTCCACAAATCTGTACCGGTTAAAGACAGATTCCTCTGTTCACAACATCTGTTCTATCTCCATCCATGAGTTCTCCGGCGGGTTGTGATGAGAAGTGGTGGAAGACTCAAAGCTGTAAACAAAAAGAGGCAATTTTAGTCGTGCAACAAGAGATGATTGCGGCAGTTTGGATAGAGCCTTAAAATAGACATATCTTGACTTAAATCCTTCTTTTTCATGTTTAAATCAATCAGTTGGGGTCTTTATAAAGGGGAACTGCAATGCTTTGGTCTGAATTCCTCCTTATTGTTACTCCACAAGCCCCTCTTTCACCCCCTTTTCAAAAGCAACTCATTTTAAGGCTGTATCTTTTAATCCAAACAAGGCGATTCACAGATTCCACATAGAGAAGGCAGCGAAAAAATGTTTTATTTACAAATTATTTAAAAGATATCAACAATGGAAGACTTGTCCATCCAGGCTTTCATGTTGGAGCAGAGACTGACACAGAGTGAGAGCAGAGCGAAGACAAAATTGTAGTTTGTAAGTCCAGACGGAAACGCCACAGAAAATAGATTAAATAGAGTGAACTGAAAAATATGACCTAAAAATAATTTTAAAATATATATTTTCAGCACTGGGAGAGCCTAAATTCCACTTTTCTGCACTTCCAAACAATCCTAGTACACAACAAAATGTATTTAATGGCTAAAAAGGTGAATTTTGCATTCGTTCCCTTTAACTCAGTAAAAACCTGGTATTAGTACACTGTATTGGCGAGTACCGATACCAATTACTTACTGAGTTTGAAGCTTGCACTGTATTTACTTTGAGAAAAATTGGTATCGGGACATCCCTAACAAAAATGCATGAATTTAGGTCGAAAAGTAAACTTTTCCTAGGAAAAATAAAAACCTCGTGCCTCATCTTTGCCATTCCAAAAAAAAGAGAAAAAGAAAAACTCTAGATCAGTCACTGCAGCTACCTGCGAACGCTTGCATGTTTTTTTCCCCCAAGTCTCTACCTAATTGAAAAAAAAACATAATCTTGTTTCCTCCTTCCTGCAGGGAAAAAGCCATCTTTACACTCTCTGCACAGCTCGGGCCCGGCGGGACGAGGGAAAGCGTCTGCACAACAACGATGTGAGGCCTTGGAATGAAGGTGCAGAGAATCAGATTCCAGCAGGGTAAATATCATCCTACTCCCAGCTGAGAACTCGTCTTGTTTCCTTGCTTTGNGGGTCGATTACGTCACACATTGGAGCTGTCAAATTATCGTACATTATGGGATTTTTGGGATTATTGATCGTACAGAGGGCAAAATTATCGTACAAATACGATAATTATCGTACACCTGGCAACACTGATCTGTGCACCCACAGCCGTGAGCCGGCCACTTGTACAGACAGCGGGTGGGTAATACCAAGTTTTTTGCAGGGGATGGGTTCGGGGCGGGGGGTGGTTGCATTAAAACATGCAGCAATTTTACTAAAAAATGTAAACGAATAAAGAAAATCAATTATTGATGTAATATATGTATACTTAAATGATGCACTTTGGGGGGGTTATATTGACTGGATCAAATTATTGGGGGGTTTATAACCCCCCTATCCCCCGTGTAAATTACGCGGGTGGAAAAAATAATTATTCTTACCGTACAGTGAGCCACCATTTGCATCAGATTTTGCTCCCTCTCTTCAGTGTTTTTTGTTTTATTAATTTATTTTATGTCACACGTAATGTGTTGGGTTTTTCTGGCCCGGGACCCAAAAGGTTTTCAACWATGTGACAAAAATATAAAACAGTTTACAGACTGGACTGATGTTCTTTGATCATTTTTAGACTGATCTATTTTCTTGTCTGAGGTTAAATGATTTTCAGTCCCGGGGTTCAGTTTCATGGTCGTTCCAGTTTAAACAATAAAAACTCAAACTAAAAAAAAAAATTATCTGACACCGTGTTCAGACGCTCCTTACATCAAGAAAACACAACAAAGTCATATTTCTGTGGATTCAGGTCAGATTCGTGACTTTGTGGGTTAAAACTGTCGGCTGAAAAACTTTGCGTGGCTGCCGCACATTCTCACGGCAGGTGGAAAGTGTGTAAATATAGACAGACTTTGACACAACGTTGGTTTTGATACATCCCAACGTGGGCGTAGAACCTGACGCACGCAACTTTTTCATGCGTATGCACCGTTTATACATGAGGCCCCAGGAGAGTATTTATGAGCCCAGTGAAGTAAGAGGAAAGGAAAAAATAACTTAATAATTGGTAAAATGGAAGTTTGTTGACAGAATCGAACAGTGCTGAGCAAGCTATAGTCAGCCCGTCCCTGTTTTACTGTGAGGGGTTTATGTAACAAGACTTGATAGAGACAATCTGTTTTTTAACCAGGTCCTAAAATGATTCAAATCTAACCTCAAGTGTACAAAAAACACAACAGATTCCACATTGTGGAGCTATACACTTAAAGTCTCACATAAACACCATCCCAAGAAAAAAATCCTACTAAATACTATACTTTTTAACTTGAAATATTCACTCCAAGTATCTCGTTTAAGTCAAGATAGAAGAAAAGCATCAAATAAATGTGTTTCAGCTCATGCTTTTAATTTGTTGCTGCTTTTCTTTTTATTTGACAAACTTACAGTAAGCGTTGTTTTTATCACACAATTTACACACTGTTAAATAATATCCTGCCAGGTTAGTCAGTACATGTAATGCTAGCCAAAAAATACTTCCTTGTACATTTGTAACTTGACAGATTATCACAGATTTAGGTAAAGGTATTTTGCAATGATGACGGTTGATGCAGTTTCATGTCCAAACACTAGAGGCGATATAAGAGCCAAATATAGTAACGTCCAGCATGAATCAAGCTTACAGGAGTCTTCTTCTGCAGAAAAGATCTTTCAACTGATGATGGCTGAATTATCTCACATGTGTTTGAGAGTATTTTGCCTATAAACAATAAAATAGTATGTAAAATTGGAAAGGACGATTTACTGTGGAAGCTTTTTTTATTACATTACACATGGCTGAACATGTGTGACTGGCTAAATGTATAAGTCTTACCAAAACTGGGGATTTGTGTGCAAGGATGTTAAACAAATACTTGCCCCTTTATGAATATTGTGGCCCCTTATTTGGAGACATCCTAGATCTGCCACAGTACAGCAGGTGAAATATGATGATTTATCCCCAACAACACAATATTTCAGTTATATACAACAAAATATTGAAATTTATTGTGGTAATACAGAAAAAAAAATCTGTCAGAATTTACTGCCATACAGCGGGTAAAATAAGTATTGAACACATCACCATTTTTCTC